ATCCCAACACCTTATTATCACCTGACAATGACTCTGTTTGTTGAGGATTAGGTCTGTGTGGTCACCAAAGGGGAGTCAGGCATACCTGCAATATGCAACTGTTAGAGGATCCTAAAGAGAAACTACACTCTGCCCCCCCCCCCCCCCCACCCCACCTCCCCAAACAATCCTACAGCTGGTCATAGATGGAGGGAGTTTCAAACAATAAATTAGGTCGGAGCACAGAATATAGACTGAGATTTTATCATTTATTGCCAAGATTAGAAGTTTATTACCCCCTCACATGTGATACTCTATACCAGGGGTCCCCAAACGTTTCAGTAAGGGGGGTCACATGTTATATTTTACAAATATATAAAAAAAAATCATCATCAGAGTCCTTCTTATATCAGGGTCCCCAATCTGAGTCCCACCTTACATCGGGGTCCTATTAAGAATCTCCCTCACATCAGAGTGCCCCCCTTTATCAAGCTCCTCTTCAGAGCCCCCTCTGATGTGATGGAGAACCTCTGATATGGAGAGATGACCTTTGATGTGATGGGGGGGATCTCTGATGTGATGGGGGGGAAACTCTGATGTGATGGGGGACACTCTGATGTGTTGGGAGGACCTCTGATGTGATGGGGGGATTCTCTGATGTGTAGAGGGGGCTCTGATGTGATTGGAGGATCTCTGATGTGAAGAGGGGGCTCTGATGTGATTGGAGGATCTCTGATGTGAAGAGGGGGCTCTGATGAGATGGGGGATCCTCTGATGTGATGGGGGGACCTTGGATGTGAAGAGGGGGCTCTCATGAGAAGAGGTTCCTCTAATGTGATGGGGGATCCTCTGATGTGATTGGAGGACCTCTGATGTGATGGGGGGACCTCTGATGTGATGGGGGACCTCTGATGGATGGGGGGACCTCTGAAATGATGGGGGATCCTCTGATGTGATGGGAGGACCTTTGATGTGAAGAGGGGGCTCTGATGGGGGATCCTCTGATGTGATGGGGGATCCTCTGAAGTGATGGGGGGACCTCTGATGTGATGGGAGGACCTCTGATGTGATGGGGGACCTCTGATGTGATGGGAGGACCTCTGATGTGAAGAGGGGGCTCTGATGAGATGGGGGATCCTCTGATGTGATGGGGGATCCTGTGATGTGATGGGGGATCTCTGATGTGATGGGGGGACCTCTGATGTGATGGGGGACCTCTGATGTGATGGGGGATCCTCTGCTGTGATGGGGGGACCTCTGATGTGATGGAGGGCTTCTGATTTGAAGTTAATTTCATTAAAGTGGTTGTGTGTATGGTCCTGGGCTCAGGATTCCCATTGATAATTAACATTTTAGACTGTGATGTGAAAGGCAACTTATTGACCAACTAAAGGAGTGCAGATGGGAGGCTGACAACGCTGCCGGAAATGACAAGGCAGAGACCTGGTGTTGTCAGTCTACAACATGAATCTCTGTTACTGGCAGGATCTCCGGGTGCAGAACTTTGCAATAGACTCTACAGGGGCGGACTGACCATCCGAGCTCCCAGGCACTGCCTGAGGGCCCGGGGTCAGTAGGGGGCCCCATGAAATTCCCCAGGTACCTTTTTATAGGCTTTTTTGGGTGTTTTTTTGAGTGTGGGCAAGGACACAGGGGCCCCATGATCCCCTATTGCCCGGGGGCCCCATGAGTTGTCAGTCCGCCCCTGGAACTGTAGATGCCAAATGTACTGAAGAACCAATTCTGGGTTTTGGGTCCATTTCAGTCCCTCGTCCCTTCAATGCTGGAACCTGGAATCCCCCCCCCCCCCCCCCCCCCCCCCCCCCCCCCGATGTGGATTCCACATCTGACATGTGACATGTAATGAATGATGAGTTTTTTTTCCTGTTCCTTTCATAGCGCCTGGCGTGGTCGTGCCGCAGACGGCCCTGTTGATGGACAGGACTCAGGGGCCGCGCGGCGCAGAGTCACATGACACGCAGAGCCCGCGGCTGGAATTCCTGGAGCCGGCGGCCCTTTCATCTGCTTGTTTGTCAGAATCTCCCGACTTTTGTGTAAACGTCTTCCAAACGGTCTGCAATGTATTAGTTACCTGTCACTGACATCACTTACGAGGTGCCGCGCCGCCACTGCCAGGACTGTGAAGTCATCACTTCTGTGGTACAGAGAGGGGGGGGGGGGGAGCCGAGAGTCGTCCTCCTGGGTGAGGAGAGCTGCAGAGCGGATCGAAGGCACGGAGAAATTGATTTTTATCAAGAAGAACTCCAGAAAAAACGGTCACTGCGGCATGTGACCGATGAGCGGGGCCGTGGATGAGGGGGTACCACCAGTCCTCCTGTACGGGGCCCAGGCCAACAGGGGGGCCCAGGCAGCTGGGTGAATTGGATGTGGGGAGGGAAGGTGATCGGCACGACTGCTGCTAGGAATCACGGGGCCCCATACAGGCAATCTGACAGCCCCCCCCCCAAGCTTACTATGCTTCGGTTATGAATGAACATAGTGAGTGATCGGTACCGCGCATTCATTGTGTTCTTCCAGGACAGAAAGGGGCTGGTAAAATGTGACATATTTAGCGGGTCCTTCAACCATTCTCCATCCTGAAGGGTCCTATTGTGTGCTTGCAGCTGCTGATGGGAAGGAGGAGAGGATAGCTAGCAGCACTGCGGGGGTGGGGGGGGCACACGAGGGGGCCTGAGCAGCAGGGGGAAACGTATGGTGCAAAGGGAGGATGATGGGTGCTCCGGGGGGGCAATTACTGGAACTGATCCCCAGTGTACCTCCCTAAATGCCTCTTCCACTCCTCCTCCTCATATTCCTCTCCTCCGTTCTCAAAATCCATTCACTATATCCCTCTGCCCCTCCCAAACAACTGCATATTGTGTCCTCACTGCTTCCTTCGCCCCTCTATGGCACCCACCACCTCCTCCTATTACTCCGCTCTCCCACTGACCCCAACACCTCCACTAGTAGTTTCTCACGCTCCTGCACATCCCGCTCCCATGCCACCTTTCTCACCCTTCTCCTCCTAACCGCGGGGGACATCTCCCCGAACCCTGGCCCTCTCCACCACCTCCCTCACCCACAAGGTACCCTCCCACTTTCACGTCCTGCCGCAACCCTCTCAACCTAATATCTGTCCCCCTGCTCCCTAAAACCACCCCTCCGTTTTTGTGTGCACTCCTGAACGCCCGATCGGTGTGCAACAAGCTTACCGCCATCCACGACCTCTTTGTTTCCCGCTCCCTCAACCTAATAGCGATCACGGAAACCTGGATCCAAGCCACCAACTCTGCCTCCCCTGCAGCACTCTCCTACGGAGGTCTCACCTGGACCCACTCACCCAGGCCCAATGGTCATAAAGGTGGTGGGGTTGGTCTGCTCCTGTCACCAGAGAGCACCTTCCGAGTTCTCCCAAACCCCCCCCCTCTCTATCCTTCTCCTCCTTCGAGGCCCACTGCATCCGACTATTCTCCCCAACCCCCCTGAGGATTGCAGTAATCTATCGGCCTCCTGGATCCATACCCCGCTTCCTGGATGACTTTTCCACCTGGCTACCCTTCTTTCTCTCCTCTGAGCTACCCACCATCATCCTTGGGGATTTCAACATCCCTGTCAACACCGACAACCCGGCCACATCACAATTCCTCCACCTAACCTCCTCCTTTGCACTTGCACAGTGCATACAATCCACCACCCACTCCAACGGGAACATCTTGGACCTTGTCTTCTCCCATCTCTGCGCTCCCCACAACCTCACTAACACCCCCTTCCCTCTCTCTGACCACAACCTGATTACCTTCTCTTTCTCCTCCAACCCCTCCAAATGTCACACTACTACCAGCCGTAACCTCCGCAACCTTAACCCTGCCCCCCTCCACTCTGCAGCTGATCAGCTCCATGACCGCATCCTCCCCCTGTCCTGCCCCGACTTGGCTATGACTGCCTACAACAACGCGCTGTCAACCGCCCTTGACTCACTAGCGCCTTTAACCACATGAAACATCAGACCCCGACCGCTCCAGCCCTGGCAGACTGATCACACCAAAACCCTCAAACGACGCAGTCGTGCCCTGGAGCGACTATGGCGCAAAACCAAATCCCAACAAGCCTTCACCCGCTATAAATCTGCCTTCCACACCTACACCTCCTCCCTCCACGCAGCCAAACAAGCCTACTTCCTGACCCTCATCAAGGCCCTCTCCTCCAATCCTCGCCGACTCTTCTCCACCTTCAACTCTCTACTGTCTCCACCCCCACCTCCACCCAGCACCTCACTCACTGCCCTTGAGATTGCCAATCACTTCAAAACAAGATTGACACAATTCGCAAGGACATTGCCGCGGCTCAAACTTCCTCCCCACCCATCCCCTCTCACACAGCTACCCCCTCATCACCCCTCTCCCACGACATCACCCCACCTAACATTCCTCACACTGAAGCCCCCTCAACACTCAATTCCTTTGACCTTACTACCATCGAGGAAGTCACCAAGATCTTCTCTGATGCCCGCCTCACCACCTGTCCCCTTGACCCTATCCCCTCAAAACTCCTACGACCTCCCTCCCCCTCCATCCTACGCTCCCTCACCCATATCTTTAATCTCTCTTCTGGCACATTCCCCTCCCCACTGAAGCATGCACACATCACCCCCATACTTAAAAATCCCTCCCTGGACCCCAATGACCCGAACAACCTCAGACCCATCTCCCTGCTCCCATTTACATCCAAACTCCTCGAGCGCCTCGCCTACACCCACCTAAGCTCTCACCTCAACGACAACAACCTCCTCGATCCCCTACAGTCCGGCTTCCGTCCCCTACACTCCACCGAAACCGCCTTACTCAAACTCTCCAACGACCTGCTAACCACCAAAGCTAATGGCCACTATTCAGTGCTCCTACTCCTCAACCTCTCTGCGGCCATCGACACAGTCGACCACCCCCTCCTCCCCAAAAAAACTACACTCCCTCGGCCTCAGAGATTCTGCTCTCTCCTGGCTCTCATCCTACCTGTCACAACGCTCCTTCAGCGTTACCTATAATGCTACCACCTCCCCCTCACTCCCCCTCTCTGTTGGGGTCCCTCAAGGCTCCGTTCTCGGGCCCCTTCTCTTCTCCATCTACACCTCCTCCCTTGGCCAACTCATACACTCTCACGGCTTCAACTATCACCTCTATGCCGACGACACACAAATCTATCTCTCAACCCCCCACCTCACCCCCTCGGTCTCCGCCCCCGACCTCACCCCCTCAGTCTCCGCCCCCCACCTCACCCCCTCAGTCTCCGCCCGAATCACACACCTACTGAGCGACATATCAGACTGGATGTCGCTCCACTTCCTTAAACTGAACCTCTCCAAAACCAAGTTTCTTGTCTTCCCCCCAGCCCGGACACCACCCCCCATTGACTTCTCCATCATATCCAACAACACCACCATCAAACCCGCCCCACAGGCCAGAGTACTGGGTGTCATTCTGGACTCCAACCTATCCTTCCAGCCCCAAGTCCAATCTTTAACAAACTTGTGCAGACTCCACCTCCACAACATGCAGACTCCACCTCCGCAACATGCAGACTCCGCCTCCGCAACATGCAGACTCCACCTCCGCAACATGCAGACTCCACCTCCACAACATGCAGACTCCACCTCCGCAACATGCAGACTCCACCTCCGCAACATGCAGACTCCACCTCCGCAACATCGCCAAAATCCGCACGTTCCTAACCCCAGAAACCACTAAACAGCTCATCCACTCCCTCATCATATCACGACTCGACTACTGCAACTCCCTCCTCACTGGCCTGCCTCGCCGCTGGCTATCCCCGCTTCAGTCCATCCTGAATACGGCTGCCAGACTCATTCACCTTTCCAACCGCTCCATCTCCGCCACCCCCCTCTGCCAATCCCTCCACTGGCCTCCATTCAGTGCCCTCCATCCCTCTGCCAATTCCTCCACTGGCCTCCACTCAGTGTCCTCCTCCCCCCTCTGCCAATCCCTCCACTGGCTTCCGATTGCACAACGGATCAAATTCAAAATCCTAACACTGACGTACAAAGCCGTCCACCATACTGCCCCGAACTACATCACTGACCTAATATCCAAGTACCGCCCAACACGCACACTCCGCTCCTCACAAGACCTCCTTCTCTCTAGTTCCCTGGTCTCCTCCTCCCATGCCCGCCTCCAGGACTTCTCCAGGGTGTCACCCATCCTCTGGAACTCCCTACCCCAACCCATCAGATTATCACCTACTCTCCTCTCCTTTAGGCGCACCCTGAAAACCCATCTCTTCAGGGAAGCCTACCCCACCCCCTGCTAACCTGCCGACCTCCTCCACTCTTCCTACCACCCCATCCCCCACAGCTATCTCCTCCTGTGCCACCACCCCCTCCCTCCTAGATTGTAAGCTCCAAGGAGCAGGGCCCTCGATCCCCTCATGTTTTGCATTGTATTGGTATTGTTCTATCACATGTTCTGTCCCCCTTGTAATGTACAGTGCTGAGCGAACTATTTATAAATACTGTATAATAATAATAATAATTGCCGGCCAGTTCAGTCCTCTCCAGCGCTTTGTCTGACACCATCTCTGGGGTCTTTGTGACGTGTGCTTTGGGTCCTTGTCCTGCTGCGTATAATTACAGTCCCTGCACCTTCCCGAAAAAAAACGCACCGGTATAAACTGCATGGATATGAATGTGAGCCATAGGAACCAGGGGCGGACTGATAACTCATGGGGCCCCCAGGCAATAGGGGATCATGGGGCCCCTGTGTCCTTGCCCAAACTCAAAAAAAGCCTATAAAAAAGGTACCAGGGGCATCTCATGGGGCCCCCTACTGACCCCGGGCCCTCGGGCAGTGCCTGAGTTTCCAAATGGTCAGTCGCCCCTGATAGGAACTGATGTTGCATGGACTGTATCACACCACGCTTTCTGTGTTCCGGATGTTTTGCGCATTTTTATGTTTTTTTAATGCATTCCGGCGTGTTTTTTCCCCCTCTCCTTTTTTTCATCTCAATGGAGGACAATTGGGGACATGTGCGCTCCGGTGCGCTTTGCCACGTTGCAGATGCGTTCCATCAGAGAAAAAGCAACATGTTCTACTTTTTTCACTGGTGTGAACTATGTCTTTGGAATCCATGTAACCTCCTGTTCATGCATTTTAGATGCGGAATAAAAACGCACCGGACGGCATCTAGTATGAATGCAGCCTTAGGCCGGGTTCACACCCATGCGTTTTTTTTTTTGTGCTTTTTGCATGATTTCCTATGGGACACGTTCACATCTACGCTCTTTTGAGCTGCTGCGTTTTTGGAAAGGGTCGGGGACTTTTTTAAATGCAAAAAGCAGCATTTTTCGCTACTGCAGAGTTCAATGGAAAAGCTGCTGAAACGCATGTAGTGCATTTTTGCCACGTTTTTGTTGCGTTTTGAATTTTTATTCTGCCTAGCAACAGAAAAAAAAAAAACATTCCTCTGAAACTGTTTTTTGTTACAGCGGAATGTTTGGTTTTTTTTGCTGGAGAAAAAAAAGCTGAAAAAAATCAAAACGCTGTAAAAACATGACAAAAACACGCAGTCAAAAATGCAAAAACGCACTGCAAAACGAACAAAAAAAGCGCAATGCATTGGCGTGAGGGTTGAAGACACACAATAAAATATTAATGACTGGATTTAGAAATCATCATTTTATGGGAATTTTATCACTTGTACTTTAGGTTTTTGTTGTGGTTTTGATGCGTTTTTTTTTCTCCTTTTTTTTCTAGTTGCTAGGCAGATTTTAAATGCAAAATGCATAAAAAATGCAGCAAAACTGCATCCGTGCTTTTCTGCAGTGTTCCCATTGAAGTCTATAGAACCAAAAACACAACATTTTGCGCTCAAAAAAGTCCCCAAGTGCCGGTTTCAGTTGCTTTTTTTTCTGCATCCAAAAACGCACAGAAAGTCGGGTACATGGTTGTCAGTGTCATAGTTCACGTCAGCGTTTGCAGTTCCGGTGCGTTCCGGGTGCAGAAAAAAATGTGTCATGTTGTTTTGCCAAACCCGAGCGGCAAAAGCTGTGAGACTCCAGTGGGAGGAGCGACCCTCTCTCAGCCCGGAGAACTAGCCATGCGTTTGTTACCGGTCCTGACTGGCCATGCGTGTGTTTACCCGGTCCTGACTGGTCATGCATTTGTTACCGGTCCTGACTAGCCATGCGTGTGTTACCGGTCCTGACTGGCCATGCGTGTGTTACCAGTCCTGACTAGCCATGCATGTTTTACCGGTCCTAACTAGCCATGCGTGTGTTACCGGTCCTAACTAGCCATGCGTGTGTTACCGGTCCTGACTAGCCATGCGTGTGTTACCGGTCCTGACTAGCCATGCGTGTGTTACCGGTCCTGACTGGCCATGCGTGTGTTACCGGTCCTGACTAGCCATGCGTGTGTTACCGGTCCTGACTAGCCATGCGTGTGTTACAGGTCCTGACTAGCCATGCGTGTGTTACCGGTCCTGACTGGCCATGCGTGTGTTACCGGTGCTAGCTGGCCATGCGTGTGTTACCGGTGCTAGCTGGCCATGCGTGTGTTACCGGACCTGACTGGTCATGCGTGTGTTACCGGTCCTGACTGGTCATGCGTGTGTTACTGGTCCTGACTGGAAATGCATGTATTACCGGTCCTAACTAGCCATGCGTGTGTTACCGGTGCTAGCTGGCCATGCGTGTGTTACCGGTCCTAACTAGCCATGAGTGTGTTACCGGTCCTGACTAGCCATGCGTGTGTTACCGGTCCTAACTAGCCATGCGTGTGTTACCAGTCCTGACTAGCCATGCGTGTTTTACCGGTCCTAACTAGCCATGCTTGTGTTACCGGTCCTAACTAGCCATGCGTGTGTTACCGGTCCTGACTAGCCATGCGTGTGTTACCGGTCCTAACTAGCCATGCGTGTGTTACCGGTCCTGACTAGCCATGCGTGTTTTACCGGTCCTAACTAGCCATGCGTGTGTTACCCGGTCCTGACTAGCCATGCGTGTGTTACCGGTCCGGACTAGCCATGCGTGTTACCAGTCCTGACTAGCCATGCGTGTGTTACCGGTCCTAACTAGCCATGCGTGTGTTACCGGTCCTGACTAGCCATACGTGTGTTACCGGTCCTGACTAGCCATGCGTGTGTTATCGGTCCTAACTAGCCATGCATTTGTTACCGGTCCTGACTGGCCATGCGTGTGTTACCGGTCCTGACTAGCCATGCGTGTGTTACCGGTCCTAACTAGCCATGCGTTTGTTACCGGTTCTGACTAGCCATGCGCGTGTTACCGGTCCTGACTAGCCATGCGTGTGTTATCGGTCCTAACTAGCCATGCGTTTGTTACCAGTCCTGACTGGCCATGCGCGTGTTACCGGTCCTGACTAGCCATGCGTGTGTTACTGGTCCTGACTAGCCATGCATGTGTTATCGGTCCTAACTAGCCATGCGTTTGTTACCGGTCACCATGAAGTGTGGATTACCGGTCCTGACTGGCCATGCGCGTGTTACCGGTCCTAACTAGCCATGCTACCGGTCCCTGACTGGCCATGCTACCGGTCCTGACTGGCCATGCGCGTGTTACCGGTCCTAACTAGCCATGCTACGGTCCTGACTGGCCATGCTACCGGTCCTGACTGGCCATGCGTGTATTACCGGTCCTAACTAGCCATGCGTGTGTTACCGGTGCTAGCTGGCCATGCGTGTGTTACCGGTCCTAACTAGCCATGAGTGTGTTACCGGTCCTGACTAGCCATGCGTGTGTTACCGGTCCTGACTAGCCATGCGTGTGTGTTACCAGTCCTGACTAGCCATGCGTGTTTTTACCGGTCCTAACTAGCCATGCGTGTGTTACCGGTCCTAACTAGCCATGCGTGTGTTACCGGTCCTGACTAGCCATGCGTGTTTTACCGGTCCTAACTAGCCATGCGTGTGTTACCGGTCCGGACTAGCCATGCGTGTTACCAGTCCTGACTAGCCATGCGTGTGTTACCGGTCCGGACTAGCCATGCGTGTTACCAGTCCTGACTAGCCATGCGTGTTTTACCGGTCCTAACTAGCCATGCTTGTGTTACCGGTCCTAACTAGCCATGCGTGTGTTACCGGTCCTGACTAGCCATGCGTGTGTTACCGGTCCTAACTAGCCATGCGTGTGTTACCGGTCCTGACTAGCCATGCGTGTTTTACCGGCCCTAACTAGCCATGCGTGTGTTACCGGTCCTGACTAGCCATGCGTGTGTTACCGGTCCGGACTAGCCATGCGTGTTACCAGTCCTGACTAGCCATGCGTGTGTTACCGGTCCTAACTAGCCATGCGTGTGTTACCGGTCCTGACTAGCCATACGTGTGTTACCGGTCCTGACTAGCCATGCGCGTGTGTTATCGGTCCTAACTAGCCATGCGTTTGTTACCAGTCCTGACTGGCCATGCGCGTGTTACCGGTCCTGACTAGCCATGCGTGTGTTACTGGTCCTGACTAGCCATGCATGTGTTATCGGTCCTAACTAGCCATGCGTTTTGTTACCGGTCCTGACTGGCCATGCGCGTGTTACCGGTCCTAACTAGCCATGCTACCGGTCCTGACTGGCCATGCTACCGGTCCTGACTGGCCATGCGCGTGTTACCGGTCCTAACTAGCCATGCTACCGGTCCTAACTGGCCATGCTACCGGTCCTGACTGGCCATGCGTGTATTACCGGTCCTAACTAGCCATGCGTGTGTTACCGGTGCTAGCTGGCCATGCGTGTGTTACCGGTCCTAACTAGCCATGAGTGTGTTACCGGTCCTGACTAGCCATGCGTGTGTTACCGGTCCTGACTAGCCATGCGTGTGTTACCAGTCCTGACTAGCCATGCGTGTTTTACCGGTCCTAACTAGCCATGCGTGTGTTACCGGTCCTAACTAGCCATGCGTGT